TTAGATTAAATCATTTACATATCTAGTGTGTGATTTGAAGAGGACCAAAAATACAATAGCAACAACGAACCCATCCCACTTCTGCCAGATTTCTTTGAAACTCTAATTTCTTCCTATTAATTTCAACTCAGTAGTTAAAGCATTTTCTCTACAAAGACAGCATGTTAAAAGGCTTACACAATGCCTTAAATATAAGGCACACCAACCCACCCTCACCTACCCCATAAATGTGTTGCATTTTTAGCTAAGAAAGTAGATATAGAACATTAACTTGGGGATGGAGGCCAGCAATATGGGTCAATAACATAACCAGGAATAACATAACCAGGAATAACATAACCAGGAAAGTCGAGACTGAGTAAGGAATCACAGTGGGGAGGTTAGAAGAAAGAAAATACAGACCTCCAAAGGGAAAACTGAAGAGTCTTTACAATACATTTCATAGACTTAATAATTCTACTAGATGATTTAATCTGTTTAATAGAGGTGATTCCATTAAATGATCACCTTTTTGTCCAAATAAGCATATTCCACTCCAAAATGTAAAACTCATTTTTGGAGAGCAATGCATGCCTCTTAGAATGATGTTCTTTCAATGATCCAAAAAGAGCCTTACACCTAGACTTGAAAAGATTGTCCACAGAAGTGTGGCTTCTCTGATGTTGTTGGGAATTATTTTCTGATGTTTTAAAAAGTTATATGCATTAGGTTAAGAGCTGCTAAAGAGAAGACTAATTTTAAGGACAAAGACATGTTCAGTTTCCCATAAACTGATCATAGTCTTTCCCAACATGGGCTTCATCTAGTGACACATATACTAAAGGCCAGTGCTGCTGAGCTGACAAGATGGCAGAGAAAGGCACTGCAAGTGTGCTGTGTCACTGTGGGATCCTTGTTGTTGTTGTTGTTGTTTGTTTTTAATTCAGAGAAATGACCTTTTTCACTGTTTTAATAATCAGACTATTTTTGCAACTGCTGATAACAACCTGCAAAAATATTGGTTGGTTATAATTTCATTTTGCATTTTCTAGTGCTATCTTAATTTAGATATTTGAATTAGCATGAAAGAGGAAGGCGGGGAGAGAGAGAGCAAGAGCGAGAGAGAATCACACCATCTGTAAATTCTAAGTAATGATTCACAATAAATTAATACATATAATGAATGAAAATTATAAGTTTTTATGGTTAATTTTTATGTGTCAGCTTGGCTAAGCTATGGTCCCCAGTTTGACCAAACACCAGTTTAGATGTCTTTGTGAAGGTTCATTTTTAGATATGATTAACATTTGATCATATGATCAGTAGCCTTTGAGTAATACAGATTACCCTCCATAAATGACCTCATGCAATCAGTTGAAGGCCTTAAGAACAAAGACTGAGGTTTCTTGAAGAAGAAGAAATTCAGCCTCAAGACTGCAACATAACAACACAGCCTGAGTTTTGAGCCTACCTGACTTGTCCTGTGAATTTCAGACACAAGACTGCACTGTAAACTCTGACCCGATTTTCTGGCCTACCTGCTTGCTCTATGAATTTCAGACTTGTCAGCCCCAGAGAACTCATGAATCAATTCCTTAAAATCATTTCTATATTGTCCTGCTTCTCTGGAAAGCCCAAATACACAAGTCATAGCTCATCATCTTTCAAGCAGACTTTCACTATGGTCTCCTGACTGACATCACTGTTTCTTGCCTCCAACTCCAGTTTATTCTCCTTAGAATATTTTAAAATAATATTTCCAAAAGGCACCCTAATTCATGAAATCACTTTTTCATTCTGTGATGCAATCAGGGTAAATCCTAAGTTTTTAAATATAAAATGTAAGGTGTTAGTCTTGTGCTCCTTGCTTGTTCCTTCTCTCCTCTCCTGCCACTGAAACTTTCTCTACCTTTTACTCTCCAGTCATATAGAACCACTTAGGTTTCTCCAAACTCATGATACTGCTTTTCCATCTGAGCCATTGTCCATGCTCTGTCATCTGCCTCCCATGATCTTTCCTCTGGCCATCATCGTCTTGCCTACCTGGGATATACTTTTTCATCTTTTCTAACTGAACTGAAACATCACTTTATGCAGTAGCTTAGCCCAGTACCTTGACTCAACCTTCTGTATCACCCTATATCTGTGTATCTGATTGTACATCACCAATCACTATATCTCAGTCTCCTTGACTAGAATATGGAACTCTAATTCTTCTTTGTGCCCTCAATACCTAACCCATCAGTTGTCACAGAGCATGCCCTAAATAAGACTGTATTGAATGGCCTATAGCTTTACTCTCTTTTGGTTCAGATACTTTTTTGTTTTTCAGTAAAACAATTTTATGTTTAGAATTAGCCAGCTGGACTTAATTTAGATGATCCCAATTTTGTTGGCAACATCCAAAGCATCATAGCTAGGAGCTAGTCTAACATATATATGCCTTCTCTCCATCAAGCCTGATCAGGGTGTTGACTCTGACCATGTCAGTGCCGCAGAGCTTCTTCACAGCCTGTTTGATCTGTTGTTTATTGGCCTCGATATCCACAATGAACACAAGTGTATTGCTGTCATCTTCATGGCTGACTCAGTAGTCAGGAGGAACATGATGATGGCATAGTGGTCCAGCTTGTTTTTCCTGGGGGTGCTCTTCTGAGAATATTTGGGCTGCTTTTTGAGCAGTAGTGTCTTGGGCTGTCGAAGGTGGGTGATGTGCACATACATATTTTCTTTTTTTTTTTTTTTTGTGGCCGTGGATGCCTTTCAGCACTGCTTTCTTTGCCTTCAAAGCCTTTGCTTTGGCATTGGCTTTGGGAGGGGCAGGGACTTTCTTCTTTGCTTTTGGAGCCATCTATGCCTTTCAGCACTGCTTTCTTTGCCTTCAAAGCTTTTGCTTTGGCATTGGCTTTGGGAGGGGCAGGGATTTTCTTCTTTGCTTTTGGAGCCATCTTCATGAAAAATAGTTCAGATACTTTGAAATTAAATTTTATAATATATTATTTAAATTAACATCTTCCTTTAGATATCTTTTGTCTTCACAGTTCAAATAATACAAAGATATATATGTTTTTCTATTTGTTCTAGAAAATATAAATAATTACAAGATATATAGTCATCCCTTTGGTATCTATAGAGGATTGGTTCCAGGACCCCTTGAATATCAAAGTTCATGGTTTTTAGAGCCCCTTATATAAATCGACTTAGTATTTCCATAGAACCTATATCTTCATATAGGCTACAACAAGGTATACCTACACATCACTTCATTTACTTGGATTCAGCACAGTGCTCAATGCGTGTCAAATTCAAGTTTTGCTTTCTGGAACTTTCTGGGATTACTTTTTTTTTCTAAATATTTTGATTGGTTGAATCCATGAATGTAAAACCCGAAGATAGAGAGGGAAGACTATAGTATTCAGACAAATATATGTGGTATCATTCCTACTTTAGGGATAGGTACTTCTCAACTATGAAATGTACTTCCCAGATTTAGAGTGTATCTAAATAATTTAGACATAAGAACATATTTAAATTCCAAAATGGTATTCATTTTTAAAATGCCTTGACATTTTATGGGGTCATTTTCTTTTAAAAGCAGACTGAACTTTAAAAAGGAAATGAGCATGATGATGACTTTTAAAGTATCTTTTATAAAAGAAAGTGGTGGTACAGAGTTAAAAGGCCTTGCTGTTCTAGCAGAGCACACTCAATGTTTAGCAAATGAGGAAGCTGAAGCCCAGGGATTTTAAGTGAAGTGAAAAAAGGCACAAAGCTGGTGAAAGGTAGGGCCTGGACTACAATTCTGCCCTGGAGATTGTCACGTCAGTTACCTCTCATTTACTCCAGGCACTAACATAAGCTACTTAGAGGTAAAGGAGAAATTATACTAAATGTCTTTAGTATTACATGCAAAATAGACAAATGCTTCTAATTTTTGCATATGTTGCTATTTTCAGGCAATATTTTTCTGCCATGAAGTCTAATTCACTAAAAGAAGTTTGTGCTTGCCAATCAATTATTTCTAAAGCAATTCAAGCATCAAGGAATCACTGATAAGTACTGGATAGAAATATAAATCTTTTAACATATACTGAACAATATCCCCCCACTCAAAATCAACATTTTATAAACTTATCAAGTATTGATTTTTCATGGAACTAATACTATACATAGATAAAATTAAAAGATAGAACTTTTGTGTAATATTATTACTTCTATTAGATACTTAAAAGATAAAGCTAGAATATATAATGGACTCTTTTTCCATCCCAAAGTCTAAGAAAATGAAGAAAATTTAAACACATCAAAATATATTTATTTTGTGAGATTTATTTTTGCTTATTTATTTGGTCTTTCTCAGAAAATTTTCAGAATTTGGGGGAAAGGTAGACTTATTACAAGAAGGGAGGAGAAAAGTATGTATGATAGAGGTGATATGAGTGACTGTGGAGGCCAGAGGGCAATTGAAGAGAAGAAGACAGAAGGAGAAAGAAAGAGATGGAGAAGAGATTGTAATTGTAGTAAAAGAGGTAGAGGTTAGTAGGAAAGGAGATAAGGAAAAAAGATGACAAGAAGATGGATATATCCAAAGTTCCCACAGAATTCACTTTCCTTGAATAATCCCACTTCTCTATAAACATACCTTCCTGTCCTTTTCAGTAAAGAGATAAACTATTAGCTTTAGTTTCCTAATCTTTATCTTTTATTACACGTAGTAACTATTCTCCAGGATTTTGTCCAGCCTCTTTGTCTCCTGCCACTTCCATCTCCACCCTAGTCCCAATCCAGCCAGAAGGTAAAGGTGGCTCCAGGTCTGTGCCTTCACATTTTTCTGTACTCCTGAACGTACTTAAGTACAATAGGAAAGTCAAATAAATGTCTTTCTTCTCTCTTCCAATTTGCCTTTCTCTGCACAGGTCCAGCTACCCTTTCTCTACTCCTCCTCCCCTTGCATTTCCCCTTATACTTTTTTTTTTTTTAATTTTTAAAATTTCAGTACAGTTCAGATCAGAATGTCTGGTTCATTTCAGCTCCTTCACTGTGAAACCAGAGGGCAGGGACTGCTTCCTTTCTTTGTCTGTGATGACCAAGGTATAATGGCATCTGCTGCATCGAACTTTAAACTTCACATTATCTTTATCTTTCTTGATCTTGACAGATTTGGCATCTTTTCCTCTGGCTGTGAGCAGGAAGTCCTTGATTTCAATTTTGTGAGGCGTGGCTATGAGGGTGGAAAGTGTGCGGCTGTACCTCGAATTACCCACCTATTCCCCTACATCCCGCCCCAGAAACACTCTCCCTCTTTTACTATTTTATTCTTCTTTCTCACAGAGGAAAAAGAAATGGAATATTTCCGTAGAGTGCCACCCCCTCAAAAAGGAATATAATTTTGCAAAGACTTTTATGGATTGTGCTTCATTTCAATTGATTGGATGCTTAAAATCTATATTTGACAAGTCATACATTCCTACATAATTATAGCATTCTTGGGTAGCGTTTTAAATTCTGAAGCTCAAATCAAAGTGATTTTAACAACTTGAAATGTTAAATTACTTGTGGGGAATGTTCCTTATGGAGACTCATAGCTGTAATAAAATGGAATTTTGTCATAAATAATAGGAAAAGTGAAATGTTCAGAGTATTTAAGGATGTATTTGACTTAACTCTATTGTACCATTAAGAGACATTACAATGGCTTCAGTGTTAAGAACTATTACAAAATCATTTCAAAACCTGTATCTGATAAAATATAATTTAGAAAAATTGAGCTATTAACATTAAGTAAACCCATGCAGCAGAACACAAGTGCATTTTATTTATTTACAGCAGTTATTGCAGTAATTTTGAGTCTATGCTTGGAAGATTTTCTACTGTAAAATAATAGAAATAAGATCTTGCTGTGACAATTAGATTATCATAAGCATTAGAAAGTCCTAATTAGCATATTAAAAATCAATGTGTGTTCCAATATAGAAACCAATCAAAGAAACTCAATTCTTCTATATGAGGAAGAATAGAATTTCTTTTCCCTCCCATTTGACATCTCCATTATAATATCCCCCTCCTTCTATGCTGAACTCCAGAACTGTCTTAAATTTCATTTTTGTCTTTAACATATAGTTCACAGACTAGGTATGAACTTCCTTCTACTACCTCTATTGAGAAAAGTTCCAAATTAGTATCTTCCTCCTAGACCTGTCCAATGAGATTTGAATTTATATAGATACTATGTGCCCAGCAGATCTACTTAGGTAGCCCACAGACTCACCCAACTCAAGAGGTGAAGATAAATGGACTATTTTTCTCTTAGACACCTGTAATGATAGAACTGAGACAATATTCTCTGTCTCAGTTGATGATGATCCCATGAGAAACCTAGGAGACACACTCCCTCTCTCATAATACCACATCCAATCAATAACAAATTCTTCTGCTCTCAGATCCTCCCGATTTATTAAATCTACTCTGTCTCAGATCAAGACTCCATCATCTCTCCTATGAAAAACTGTGGTAGCTTTTTGACTGGTCTTCTCATTTCCAGACTTGGTTCTTTCAGATCCACCCCCGACAAAGCCATCAGCAGGATCTGATATTTCTTGTATACAGCACATGTTGGATTTTGCTCTTGATCCAAATGATGAGTCATTTGGTTTAATAGGACATTTGGTCCATTCACATTTATCTATATTTATTGATGCGGCACAAACATTTAATCTTAGTTCTATCACTACAGGTTATATTCTTTCTATATACAGTTTTTGCTTTCTTTTCATTTCTTCTGATAATTTAGATGTATTTTTATTCTCATGCTTACACTATAACTATAATTTTATGTAATATCTTAATGCTTTTTTCTCTCTAGTTTCTCTACTATAAGCAAAAATTTAAGTAATATACTTTCCTTCCCCTCTCAATTATTCTATTTTCTTAATGTTTATCTTTATGTTATTTAAGTATAACTAATACTTACATTACCCGATTTATGAGTTTTGAATTATATCTTTTGACCTTCAGCTTTATAAACCCACATCCTTGCACAATCTCCCAACTCTTTTTCCCTCCTCCGAAGCTCAGCCTTCTAAAGATATGTAATTTTGACGTAGTCAAGACTTATAATTTTTACATTGTTTTAAAGCTACAATTCTCACACTGATTTTAGTCTTTTATCCTAAATTTAATTAGATTTTATTAGATTTCACTGCCAGTCTTTATTAACTTAATATTGGCTGTATTTTATCATCATGATTTCATCAAAGGCCATTGATTTCTTACACATTCAAAAAATGTTTGCTGCTTTTATAGACATTTTACTTGCTTTGGTCTAAACTCTTCAGCTTATACTATTTTTTTTTTTTGACAATTTTATAGGTATATTGTCTTTTAGTCGTGACTGTTGCTGTGGGTAACTATAAGACTAAATTAATTATTGCCTTGTAAATGACTTGAATTTTACATGTCTGCTTTGGAAAATATCTTTGTCTTTATACTTAGTTATTTTACTAGGCTATGTCTCAACTGCAATTATTCTCTGTTAATTTCTTGAGGATATGTTTGGTCCATTCATTCTGTAGATTCAAACTTTCTCTTTTTTTTCTGAAAAATTATCTTCAATTATTCAAACATTTCCTGTTCTTTATTTTTTTCTTATATCAGATATACCAACAAAGTACATTTCAGATTTCTTGCCAAATTTTCTCTCATCCTCTTTAACTCTTCATTTCTGTCCCATTTCTTCTCTAGCCTATCCTCTAGTGATTTTTTTCATTTGTTTTTTCTTTTGTTTTGTTCTTTTTCTAATTTTTTAAAAATTATTCATTTGTGGCATTCTGTAAAGATTCCATTCCATGCTGGTTCTCTTTCAATTATTTCTTATCTTTGAGTCCTAGATCATTTATTAATGGGGGAGGCAGTGATGAGGTGGTTCCAGGCCATGCTTCATATGTTGCAGGCTGATTTTTAATGAAATATTATGACACAGGATTTCCAGTATAAATATAGTTTTTAGCCTTTAAATTTCTCCAACCTGTTTCTTAGAAGCAACAAAACCATTCATAATGCCTAGTCACTCTCCTCCATCCACATTGTCTCACTGAAGGAATCAGCTTGTGAACTTATTGTCACCCACATCTACTCTGTCAAACAGCCCGGGAGTTTCCAGCACCAGCCTGGCATCCTGCCCTCCTTCTCCAAAGAGTGGTTCGATGATATGTGTTCTGAGCTGTACTATGTCCCCACAAAATCCATATGCTGAAGTCTTAACCCCCAGGACATCAGAATGTGAACTGCGTTTGTGAGAAATTTATTGTAATAAGGAAAAAGAAAACTAAAATTGAATGAGAAAAAAATGTAAACACCTAAGTTGCCTGATGGATTGAGGCACTGTACTATCTTGTGTAGTTCTTTAGATCTGTTGCTTTTATTACTTGTGATCATAACTAGGATATCATTTTCTTAAGAATAAGAGCCATGTGCTATATATTATACATATGTGATAAAGACAAAGTGATTTAGTTTGACTACTTTTGAATCCCCACCACTCATCCACTCCCTCCACAACTTGGTGTTTAGTCTATATTAAGTAGTTAATAAACATGTTGGTTAATTAACATATACACACATACACATACACACACGGAGACAGAGACAGAGACAGAGACAGAAATAGAGACAGAGAAAGACAGAGACAGAAATAGAGACAGAGAAAGACAGAGGCAGAGACAAAGGAAGAGTGTGTTGAGGGTAGGGGAGATAACTTCCAAAACACTAAGTGATTTATAGAAATTACTAAATCCATGTGAAAATCAGAAAGAGTGAGATCTCTGTCTTCATTCTTGTAAACTGGGACATATGGTGTGCAAATGTCCAGTGCAAAGTCATTGCCAAGTGACCTGGACTTAGGAATGATGTTTCAATACTTATTTGTCTATAATTTACATCTATTATCCCTGGGACGACCTTTGTAACTTTGGGGTTATTTCCCTTTCCACCTTCTTATCAAGTCAGTATGACTTAAAGAACCATTAATGGGGCTCTAATTGAATAAAGCAACAATTCTTTGATTATTGCTTCCTTGACTTTCTGTCATTTCTGAAAATGACCTTACTTTAAAAGGTTCACTTTGAGGATCATTTATGTACAAAAGGTTTACTCAGACAGTACTTAACTTCCTGGCTTCCGCCCCCCCAAACTGTAGATCAAAGCACTGAATTTCACAGTTGGATTTAATTTATTTATTCCTTTGATTTACTTCACAGACAAATTTCTGTTTGAGAACAGGCATGCTCTCTTATCTGAAGCTTATGAACTAAGTCATGTTCAGATAAAATATCTACCCTTAAAAGTATATTGGTATATAGATTTTAACACAAAGTAATACAAACTATATTGCATTGATGCCCAGAGAAAATTAGAAATATACCATGAAAGCAAAGAAAGCACAGATTATAAACATTCACATCAATTTCCCAACTTCCTTTGGTTAATTACAAATCAATCAATTTTCCATGTTGTTACCAATGCTAAATCAAATAAGCCTTATAATCACTGAAGAACTGGCATATAACTGATCATCTCCGCTTAGATATGAGTGCCACTAATTTTTACATATATAATTCATACAACATAAACTTTCCTTATTAAAAAAAATTTAACAACTTAAGTAAATTATCTAGCATACTAAAATTTTCCTTTACTGCCCATCTTACTAACATGGCCTTGTAAAACCATGAGTTTCTCATTAATAGATAGATTTACTACTTCATTAAATCCATGATAATTTTCTGTCATCTCTTCCTAAGAGAATTGGATTTAAGAGTTAAATTTTTCAAATCGAAGAAGATACAAATAAATGGAAGCATATACCGTGCTCATGAGTAGGAAAAATTAACATCATTAAAATGGCCATACTACCCAAAGCAATCTATAGATTCAATGCAATCCCTATCAACATACCAATGGCATTTTTCAGAGAGCTAGAACAAATAATCCTAAAATTTATATGGAACCAGAAAAGACCCCAAATAACCATGGCAATCTTGAGAAAGAAGAACAAAGTTGGAGGAATCACCCTACCTGATATCAAACTATACTACCTGGCTACAGTAATCAAAACAGCATGGTACTATCATAAAAACAGATATATGATCAATGGAACAGAATAGAGAGCCCAGAAATAAATCCACGCCTATACGTTCACTTAATATATGACAAGGGAGGCAGGAATATACAATGGGGTAAAGACAGTCACTTCAATATGGTGCTGGGAAAATTGGACCGATACATGCCAAACAAACAAAAGGAACTGGACCACCTTCTTACACTGTATAGAAGAATAGACTCAAAATGGATTATAAACTTACATATAAGACCTGAAACTATAAAACTTCTAGAAGAAAACATGGGCAGTAAACTCTCTGATATTTCTAACAGTAATTTCTTTTTGGTTATATCTCCTCAGGCAAGGGAAATAGAAGAAAAAATAAACAAATGGGACTACATCAAGCTAAAATTTTTTGTACAGCAAAGGAAACCATCAACAAAATGAAAATACAACTGACTGAATGGGATAAGATATTCGCTTATGATACATCTGATAAGAGGTTGATATCCAAAATATATAAAGAATTCATACAACTCAACAACAAAAACAAAAAACAAAAAATTAAAAATGTGCAGAAGACCTGAACAGATATTTCTCCAAAGAGGAGATAAGATGGCCAATAGACATGAAAAAATGCTCAAGGTCACTAATCATCAGAGAAATGAAAATTAAAACCACAATGAGATATCAACTGACACTTGTCAGGATGGCTATCATCAATAAATCAAAGAACAACAAGTGTTGGCGAGAATATGAACAGGGAATCCTCGTACACGGTTGGTGAGTTTGCAAATTGGTATAGCCGCTATGGAAAACAGTCTAGAGGCTTCTCCAAAAATTAAAAAGAAATATACCTTTTGACCCAGCAATTGCACTTCTGGGTATTTATCTAAAGAAAACTAAACCAATAATTCATAAAGATCTATGCACCCCTATGTTCATGGCAGCACAATTTACTATAAACCAAGATATGGAAGCAACCTAAATGCCCAACAACAGACGATTAGATAAAGAAGTTATGGTTCATATAAACAATGGAATATTACTCAGCTGTTACAAAAAATAAAATCCTACCACCCGCAACGACATGGATGGACCTAAAGGTTATTATGCTGAGTGAAATAAGTCGGACAGAGAAAGATAAATACCATATGATTTCACTTATATGTGGAATCTAAGGAACAAAATGAACGAATTAATCATAAACAGACTCACAAATATAGAGGACAATCTGGTGATGGCCAGAGGATAGGGAGGTTAGGCTGGGAGAATGGGGTGAAGGGTTAAAGAAGTACAGATTATTAGTTGATAGATGGTCATGGGGATGGGGAGCATGGCATAGGGAATGCAGTAAGCATTAATGTAATGGCTAGGTGGAGACCTAAGGAGAGAAAGAGCAATCAGGGGATCATTTTATAAACTATATAAATGTCTAACCAATGTACTGTATACTTGAAACTAATAATAAAATAAAATTTTTAAAAAAGAGTTAAATATTTTCTTATGTGTCATGGTCCTTTTCTTTTAAATTAATATTTTGTAGTCCT